GGATGTCGCGGTCCGTGCTTCAGCCGAGCCAGCAGAAGCTGGCGGAGAAGCTGACCATCCTAAACGACCGGGGCGTCGGCATGCTCACCCGGCTCTACAACATCAAGAAGGTGCGGGGGCCCTAGCGGGGAGGCGGGGAGAGGGACCGCCGCGACCCCCCCCGTCCGTCCGTCCGTTCGTCCCGCCGCCCCTCTGGGCCCCTGCCACCCGGCGCTCCTCCCGCCGCCCCCCGCCGCGCCGCGGCCTAGCTGCGGGGCCCGAGGGGCAGGGCAGGGCGGCGAGGGGAGGAGAGGGCAGGGCAGGGAAGGGGAGGGGGGCCCCCGGGCGGTCCCGCAGGGCCGCGGGGGCCGGCAGTACCTGACGGCGGGCGGGCCCGGAGCGCGCAGGCCGCGGGGCCTAGGCCACGGGCCGCTCCCCGTGAGTCAGGCGGCGGCCCGGCTTCCCCGCGCCGCTGCGGCCGGCCAGGGCTTCGGGTAAAATTAACGAGTTGGGATCCGCGAGTCGGCGTTGCTTAGCGGCTCGGGCGGGAGACGGAACCAGGAGCTGACGCGGGTGCCGCGACCGCCCGCCGCCTCCCCGAGACGCGGCCCGGCTGCCCGTCCTGCGGCGGAAATCCCTGCCTTGTGCCGGTGCTCCAGCTGCTCGCCTGGCCTTCCCGGCTCGATTTTCCCAATGCGAATGCGTGATCAGGAGGAACGCGTTTGTATAATCCAGTTCCAGCAGGGAATTTTGCACGTGAATGTATTTTATGGGAGAGTTTATCATTTTTCGGAGGAAACCTCTCTTCTGTGCTGAAGCAGCGAGCACACCTTTGCAGGCTGAGTGCATTAGAAGGCCTTTGCTGTTCCCCGTACTGTGTGCTGCTGTGGTGTTTGGGGGCTGCAAAGAAATCTGAGGTCCAATGAAGTTCTGAGGAGCTGGTCGTCATCTGTCTGTGAGTTAGTTGTAGAGAGTGAGTTGTGTTGTAGCCCTGAACCCCTTTCAGGTGGGAGACATCCTGTCCAGTGCTCTGTCCAGCAACCATGCTCTGGGAGCAGCGTGAGCTGTCGGCAATCCCACGCACAGGGTTGGTCTTAATTGGCTGTCATTTGCAGGGAAAGAAAGTGACTGTAGTATTCAAAATCAGTGTTAATCCCAACCAACAGCAGTACTTGATGCGCAGTTGTTGTTTCACTAACATCGACTCATCTAACCAAAGTATTGCCAATTTATATCTTCCGGAAATAGAAATGGAACTCCTTTTAACTTGCAGTTTTATGTGTCAGAAACTTGCTGCTACTTATTAATGGCAGTGGTGTAAGTGTACTTGCAGTGCAAAGCAGAATTTCTCTATTTATGGGGATAAGCATCTAAATATTGAAGTCATTTGTGTGTGCGCTTTGAGAGGCGTGTTGGCTGAAAACTGGTCCAGTAGGATTATGCCTGAGCTGTGCTGTGTAGGAAGGAGGCAGGAAAAGGTGAAGCATCTCTTGGCGTAAAGCTGTGCCTTAACGAGTGTAAGGTTGTGCTGCGATTACTGGTTTGGAGATGCTCACGGTAAGCAGCATGGTGCCTTTGGATGTGTTTCCGTCAGCGCATTTGGTGGAGGGAGTCCTGGGTGGGTTGGTCCATATGGCATTGCTGTTGGTGCAGTGATGCGTGCGGATGGGCTCTCAGTGTGGGAACAGAAACACTGGAGGTGACAGCAGGTTTTCCTGCAAACACCGTGAACGGACTCAAAAACTGTGTAGGTCTCAGCACGGAGAGAGGAGGTGAATCCAAGTGACTTGGTGACTGAGCAATGTAGAGCTTGGCAAATCTGGAGACAAGCAGATAGAGCACTTTGTATTCAAATGGTGCACTGAGATACAAACGGTTATTTTCTTAAGCTGCAGTAAGTACTGGTTGATGGTGGTAGCTGGCTGGCTCTGATGGTGTGGCCCAGAAGTCATGTTTGTGTGTTGTCCCTTCAGACTGGTTTCTGGCTTCTTGGAACCTTTTCTTTTTCTTTGTTTTCCCACTTTTTCCCTCTTTGCAAGCGGTTGGTTTCAAAGCTGCTGCTAAGGCTTCTCCCGGCTTCCTCCGCAGAAGACAATATCAGATCTCTAGTTTGCAGAGAACTGCACAATATGCGGTATTGCGGTTAAAGGAAGTGGCTGAGACTCATTTGAATAAGGGGAAGTGAGAGCTGCCGCGCTCATCACTGCTGTGTGGATTGCTAGAGATGCTGGTTAGGGAGCGGAGATTTTAAGGGATTAGGATTTTCCTGAGTTACAGAAATTGGAAAAAACAACTTGATAGTTACATTTGCTTTAAAAAAAAAAAAAAGAAAATAATCAATTTTGATCTCATTTTCCTTATAGCTGTTAAGTGTTCCTCACTTCCTGTTTGCTGCCTGAGCCGCAGTCTTCTGAAATGGTTTATGATTCTTTTTAAAGGTGGGATATCTGAACACACGATTTTCTGCCTCTTTAGGAGCGGTATGGAAAATATGAAATGCAGAGTTACTGAAGTAACAGTGGGTGGTGAGGCTGAACTCCTACTTGATCTGTATGGAGGTGGAACTTTTTATAAGGAATGACATTGCGTGCTGCTTTCAGCTGTTTTTAGCTGCCTATTGTACTGGGACCAGCATCAGTCCTGAATTTGGAAATGTTATCACTGCAGTTTCTCTCCTGTTTTGTTCCTTCTGCTTTTAAAATGTTTATCCTCAGTTGTACAGGCTAACAGTTGTCTTGTTGCTCTTGCTGTTTGTACGTACGGCCAAGTCTGTAAGTCAGATACAGCATTTTTCATGCCATCCTGGCTCAGGTGAATCTTGAAGACTGTTGTTAGTGCCAGAGCAGACAGAGATGGGTTTTGGTATGCTTTGTGTGATGCTGCAGTATTGTAAAATTAAAATCAGCGTGGTGTTGAAGAAAAAACAAAACTGAATGTGGGTCTGCTTTTGTTTGTTTATAAACTACTTGGATACCAGAAAGTACTTGCAGTCAGAGATTCAGTGTTGAAATAGCAGAATCATAGACTTTGAGCAAATCAAGAGAGTGTGGTTTTGATGGATGTCAGAGCAACGCTACTTAGAGCTAAGCTGTTTGGGATGAGAGGGTTTTGAACTATTTGGAGCACGTTCCTCAAAAAGGGTGAGTGTTCCTTGGTGCTAATGGCTTTGCAAGCAGTGTCCTTCTGTTATTCACAATACAGGTTTTAAGTTTGTATGCAAAACTTATTTCTTAAAATGTCTTTAGTGCAGCCTTCTTTTGGCTTTCAGACCTCCCGCGATCGCGTGGTACCTGGAAATGAGAACCTAGAGCAGATTCTTAGATTAGATACCAGCTGCGTAACCAAGCTGAAGGCTTAGGTCAAGGGCAGAATAAATCCTCGTCAAGGCTTTAGTTGGCTTTGTCTTTGCCATTCTAAACCAAGATCTCAAGTTTGGTCCCAGTCCCAGCACCGTACAGCATAATAATAAGTGAGATATGAGATTACTTAGGTGATTGATTCTTTGTTGGTTAGTACTTTAAAGATGTAATTTGGGAATAGTGTATTTGTACCTATCTTAAAGGTGTTGCTTGTTAGCCATTTTAAAGGCCAAATGAATACTTTTTTCCTGGTTATCTCCTGCAGCAGTTAAATGACATACTATTTATGAAAGAGCAACCGTGCTGTGTGGGTAAAGAAGGACGGCACCAGTTCTCCTGTGGTAAAATGATGAGAAGTTGGCTGGGTTGGCTAAGGCTGCATAGAGGCAGACCCTCGAATCTCCAGCCTTTCACTCTGGTCGTGAGACTAGGGTGAAGGAAAAGATCCCAGGAGCTCCAGAATTGGACTGGAGAGGACTTGACGAAGTCTAAACATTGATGAGAAAGTT